ACCTCGGCGGTGGATGAACACTGTGGTGTCCTGGATACCTTTTCCATGGTCCCTGTTTGGCCACTGCTGTGGCTGCAGGAGAGCCTGGGTGTCCTCAAGAGCAGCAGGGGGATGGCTTGGCTGGATCTCAGCAGCACATTTATGATTTCAGAGACTTGGAAAATGGATGCTGTTAAAATGTGGCTTAGAAGGTGAAGCTTCCTTTGCAGAGGATGCTTGGTAATGTGCCTATGGATGCCTCCGAGATGAGCTCTTGAAAAGTCATTCTCCAGGCTGGAGCTGGAGGGAAGCTTTTGGCCTGGGGATGGGAAAGAGAGGGGAGCAGGGACAGAGGGATTGAGTGTCCCCCTGCCAGGAGCTGGCTGAGAGAAGCCAGCCTGGGATGAGCCAAAATGAGCCAAATGAGCCAAAATGCTCTCACAACCAACTTTTACTTTGACGAGAGAACGTGGCTCAAGGTTGTGCTCCAGCACTGAGCTGATTTCCTCCTATTGTGCTTGGGGAGGCGCCGAGATTCCCTTTGCTCAAACGCGTTTCTTCCTGGCGGGGGAGTTCTTATCACGTCCTTGTGGGGTAACTAACGCTGAAATCATTGCACTCTTGGCAGACACAGTCAAAGAATGATAACGTGGAGCCAGAGGAGCCTAGAAGATGTGCTGGGCTGTACTCCCAAAATTCCTGGAGCCAGCACCACCTCCAGCCTTTCCTCTTCCCTTCCTAATCTTTCAGTGCAATCTCCCTGATGTTTCAGAATGAGTCCCTTGGTATTTCCCCTAATCTGTCATTTAAAATCTCAGGCAATAAAGCTTTCACCACTTCCCTTAGGGAGACGATTTTTCCAGCCTGTGCTTCTCCATTCAAAAGCTTTCCGCACAGATTCCCAGTTTAGACATGCCCTTCTGTAATTTCACCCCATTAAAATAATTAATGTATCCCCAGCCTTCTCCCTTGATGCCACTTGCTTCATTCAGACATTTACACATGGCTGCTGTCTCCCTGCTCAGTTCACTAATTCCGCGGTACTTAAGGCACTCGGAATTCCTTTTCCTCTCTTTTTGTAAAGCCTGCCGCCGATTCCTTCAGCCGCGGAGTCTTAGAGCTCCTTCCCGTGTATCACTCTTCCTGCAAATCCAAGGCAGATGCTCCCCACCCGCGTCCTTGTGCTTTCCTGTACTCCATCCAAAACTGTTCCCGGCTGCCTGTGAGCTGCGTGGTGTCCTCCGGGTGTCTTTCAGGAGGCAAAGCACATGGATCCCCAAAAATGCAGGTTCTGGATGTCATTTCCCCATGGAAATGCAGGTTCTGGATGCTATTCCCCCCCTGGAAATGCAGGTTCTGAATGTCATTTCCCCATGGAAATGCAGGTTCTGGATGCTATTCCCCCCCGGAAATGCAGGTTCTGGATATTATTCCCCCTTCTGGAAATGCAGGTTCTGGATGTTATTTTTCCCCCGGAAATGCGGGTTCTGGATGTTTTTTCCCTCTCTGAAAATACAGGTTCTGGATGTTATTCCACCCCTGGACATGCAGGTTCTGGATGTTATTCCCCATGGAAATGCAGGTTCTGGATATTATTCCCCCCCTGAGATGCAGGTTCTGGATGTTATTTCCCCCCTGGGAATGCAAGTTCTGGATGTAATTTCCCCTTCTGGAAATGCAGGTTCTGGATGTTATTCCCCCCCTGAGATGCAGGTTCTGGATGTTATTCCCCCCTGGAGATGCAGGTTCTGGATATTACTCCCCCTTCTGGAAATACAGGTTCTGGATGTTATTCCCCCCCCGGAAATCCAGGTTCTGGATATTATTCCCCTCTTGGAAATGCAGGTTCTGGATGTTATTCCCCCCCGGAAATACAGGTTCTGGATGTTATTCCCCCCCCCGGAAATACAGGTTCTGGATGTTTCCCTTCTGGAAATGCAGGCCCTGGATGTTATTCCCCATGAAAATGCAGGTTCTGGATGTAATTTCCCCATGGAAATACAGGTTCTGGATGTTAAATCCCCCTCAAAATGCAGGTTCTGGATGTTATTCCTCCCTGGAAATACAGGTTCTGGATGTTATTCCCCCCCTGGAAATGCAGGTTCTGGATGTTTTTTCCCTCCTGGAAATGCAGGTTCTGGGTGTTATTCACCCTTAGTGCTTTCCTTGGTGCTGACACCACAAATGATTCACTCACCTTCCTTGACGAGACAATTTTTTTACATATTGGTGAGAAGTACCTCTCAAAGTACCGGTTTAAAAAATAATTGTGGAAGCCTGAATGCGTGGTTCTGCTTCCAGCTGCACCTCTCCATCTCTCCTAGTATGATAAATGTTTCTGGGGTGGCATGATGCCTGTTTTTCCCGAGTCCATGCCCACAATTTGGGTGGTAGTGCAGGTGGATTTCCCACACATTTCCAGCCCTGGCACTGAGTCCTGCCACGAGTAGCTCTATGGTGAATGCTTAAATCCTGAATTTCCCCGGTGCTCCTAGCCCTGATCAGGACCCACAGACTGTGCTGAAATTATTTCCTTCCACCTTTCCGAGTCTCAGGAAACACCTGCAGCTGTGCAGGACAGCCGGCGGGGTGCAGAAACACCCCGGACGGTGTTTAACGAGGGCATTACAATGTTAAAATGTGCATTACAGTGATTAAAATGTGCGT